CTTTTAAATTGATATACATATGTAAAATTAATATGATATAAGTTCTTGTACTTTTAATACCACTTTAGGTATTTAATTACATTTTAAATTGTTTATCTGTTATAAATTTTAATTGTATAGAATAAACATTTACCTTTTAGAATTCACAAGCTAAATTACCTTGTATATTAAAAATTATAAAAATTGAATCCTTTAACTAGAAATAACCTTACAGTTTAAAAACATTTAAAAATAAATTAATTAAAAAATTAAAATTGACGTAAATTGGATCCAATAATTACAAAAATTCATAATTTAATTTTTATAATTTTAAATGTAAATATTTATAATTAATAAATAAAAGAAAGCATAAAATTGTACACACATAAAAATATAAAATCCTACACCTCGGTAAATTTTCTCTGCACTTGTATATATAGAAAAAAATCATTTTAATCTTTTTGAACTGTGTAATTCAAAAGTTAAAAATGATTTTAGAATTACATAATTCAGAAATAAAAGATGAGTTTAAAATGTTGGAGAAAATTAAAACTAAATCAATTTTAAATTACATAATTTAAATTTTATTTTTTTAATCATCTTATTCGAAAGTCTTATTTTTAGAAAAAAATACTTCTAAATTACATAATATAAAACTTACTTTTAACTTTTAAATTTTTGAATTACATCATTCCAATGTCATTGAATTACATCATTCCAATGTCATTTATGGGAGTGAACAAAGTTGCCTTCATTCATAAATATAGACTCTTTTATAGCCAATTTATTATTTACTTGTCCAATTTATTCGTTTGAGTGTTGCTCCCTCACCACGACAAGCTCCTTGTTCCTCCTCAAATTCTTTTATTTTCAAAACTATGCTTATGTTAAAAGTTAAAACTTTTTTTTACTTTTACCATGAATTTTTAACTTATTTCTCAAAATCTAATTTTATCTTATTCATATTCCGTGAACGCAACAGCTACACCTCACTTCTATGTCAACTCAATCTTCTTCAACCTACTTGTATCCACGTCAAATATGAATTTTTAATTATCTTTTGTTGATGAAGTATAAAACTATCATGTATTCTATTATACCTAATACTTATTATTGAATTTTAGTTAATTAATCTTTTAAATTTGAATGATGAAAATCCATATCTGTCGCGGATACAAGTAGGTAGAAGAAGATTGAATTGACATGGGGGTGGGGGTGCAGCTGCTACGTTCGGAGAATATGAATAAGGTAAAATTAGGGTTTGGAAAATAAATTAAAAATTCGTGGTAAAAATAAAAAAGTTTTAACTTTTAACCTAACAATAGTTTTGAAAATAAAAGAATTTGAAGAGGTGCATGGAGCATGCTCTGGTGAGGAGGGAACAACACTCTATTCCTTTTTGTCAACTGCCCTAACCATAGGCCCATCCACTAAAACAACCATATCCCCTGATATTACCATAAAAGCTAAAAAAATATATGAAAATTATTCTTTATTATATACAAAAGAATTAATTAAGTATTTAATCCCTAAATTTTTATGTGAAATTAAAATTTGTTTTTATTAATAATTTTGATATATTTTAATTTTAAAATTTTAAAAATTAAGTAAATATCTTCTTTTTAATCTAATAATGATAAATCTTATTAATATATTAAACACTTTTTATATTAATATATGAATTGTTTAACCATTTTATATATTTTTATTTCAATATTTACTAAAACATACATAAAAAGAATTTTAATATAATTGAATTAAAAATATTATAATATTTATTTTTTAAATTTAAAAATTAAAATGTATTAAAGTTTCCTCTACAAAAAACTTTCAAATTTGCATCAACTAATAACAATTTTGACAAAACTCGTAAAGTTTGTGGTGAGTACATGGTCACTTAACGTTAAAAAATGAGAAATTTCATTGGACAATTGTATATATTATTTAAATATTTATTAGAGATATTAAGATGTTTTCTTCATTTTTGAAATTATCATTACCTAATACTAGTACCCATATAAGCATATGCGTAATTTCTAAAAAAACTTCCGAAAAAAGCATAAAAACCAAAAAAAAAATGAACAATTATTTAATGAAGTTAACAAATATACTTTCTTTTATTGGTTCCAATAATTCTCACGACGAAAATAAAAATATTTCTTTGAGCTTAAATGGTAAGCTGACGCATTCCTATTCAAGGAACTATGAGATGAAAATGGGTACATCTTATGGTCTAAAATCAGACTATTATACGTGCCAAGCACATGTCAAAAAAACCTAGTAGATTAGTCCTTTCAAATTGTGCCTCAAATCTAATTACATTTTCTTTTGGTACAACAAAGAATAATTACTCTAACTTCCATATGCGTTTTGCTGGCTGTGTGTAATGTCTCACAAAAATGGGTTTTGATGAATTCTGAAATAACTTGATCAACATTCAATTCGAACAGCACCACTCTCTGACTTAATGAACTTGGGCTTCCTTACAACTTGTTCTAAGCACTGAATAACATCTCCAACTTGGAAATCATACCAATTGCTAATTACTAGTCCACACTCACTTCCCTTTTTCACAGTATCCACATCCTGCTTCTCCCGCTTAAGAGACGTACAATGTCCTTCAAACACCACTTCTCCACTCCTCAGAAGCCTCATGGTTGCTGATCTTGTCACAAAACCATCAATAACACGACAACCAGCTATCTTCACATCAGGACCCTTCGACTTGCTCCCTTTGATTTCAAATATGTTAAGCACTTCTGCCTGTCCAGCCACCTGGGTTTCAGAAGTTCCAGGGGCCTTCTCTATTATCAAATTGCCTATGTCCTCCAAAAGGTGGTAAATTACACGGTGCAGGATTATCTATAACAACCATACAGAAGTCAACTTGAAGTCAAAGGTTTGTGTTAGAATCTCTAGCATGGCATAAGTTTACAAGTTAATAATACCTTGATACTGGCACGAGTTGCTGCCTGACTTAGAGCAGTAGGAGGACTTTTGACATTGAATCCAACTATGCAAGCACCGCAAGCTTGTGCTAAGTCCACATCAGATTGAGAAAGTGGCCCGACGCCAACATGGACAACATTCACCAAAACCTAGAAATTAAATTAGAGACTTTCAACAAGAAACTTAAAATTTCATGATAACTGCAGTATTTTGTTGGTTGATACAAAGCTGATTCAAGCATGAATGTCACAAAAAGAAATCAGCATGTATGCCAGACCTGGTAATAATTAAAAGCAAATCATTTCCAATTTCCAAACTATATTGTGAAGGATCAACTGGAACTAATTAACAGTTATTAAATATATTTTTAAAACTGATTACTCCACTGAATACCCTTTCATATGTCATTTTCATCATACCACCAAACAAACATTATTATATGGGTTAAATGATGGCATTCATATAACTAATATATCAAGAATCAATCATATTTTGTCGTAAACCAGGCATTT